TCAATACTATGACTTCACTGACATCAAGTGACCAGAAAAGAAAAAATATTTTTAAAAGGCAAGAAAAGATAACAAAATAACAAACCCAGAGAGAACGGCGGCAGTCTGCTAGTGCATTGATCTCACACGTAGCCTCAATGCGAAGTCCAGTCGTTTGATTGGTTGTTCCTGTCACACCAGTCACGGTGGTAGCGACATAACGATAAGTGTACCTTTGGTTGGGCACAAATCGTGTAAATGCTGGGAGAAAAAGAAAATGTCACGTCAATACGGGTTAGTTTTACAGATCACGTGCTAATGCATTACGCATGATCACGACCCCTCCACGTGAACACTTGTCTGTCTATCTTATTCCTTGTTCCTGTGCGTCATGGTGATTGCGCACGTTTTTCAACGCATTTCCGTAAAAACAAGTTGATTTGGCCGAGATCCACAAAAAAAAGACCACCTGGATTTCTAAATTAATTAGCCCAAAAGTTCCTCTGGTAATCCTATACCTTTGATTCATGCGTTTTTTGCCCAAATTCTTTATCTCGCAACCTTTGAATCCTAACTTTGTCTTCGAAAACAAAAAAAAGGCTTTCGCTTTTTTTGTGACTCTACAGAACTCCAAATGTAAACTATCGAGGAAATATCCTCGTTTCAATATAACAGAAAACTGAAAGTTACCAATCGGCAATCGGCACGAATTCTTGTTTGTTGGTGTGTTTGGAGGGAAGGGGGCGTGTTGGGGGCGTGAACTGGTGCGTGTCGGGGGGCGTGTAAGGGGCGGATATTTGCTTTTTATTAATTGTAAAGCCGAAGTTTGGCACGAAAGGCTTTCAGGAGTTTGGCACGAAAGGCTATGATTTCTTTTTGAACAGAAGTGACGAGATACAAAACGCCTCTTTTGCCCGTGAAAAGCGGAAAATGCATAAAAACACGAAGAATAAACTATTGGTTCAATTCACCCCGATTTAAAAACTAAATAAACCTTAATACGTCATGAGCTTACACGATAAAACTTTAAACGAACAATTGTCCAGTTTTGAAATGCTTGTCTAGGCTCTTTGATCGTTCTTTTTTGTGTTGTTTATTTGTATCGTGCATTCCCTGAGTTATGACGTGAAACAAATGTTCCTAACGCTTTGTCACGAGACTTGGCAAGAGGATAAATTCTCCTGATATATGTCAAATGTACTGACATGAATCATGTATCAAAACAATCATCAAATCTTTGACCTTTCAACTATGTCAAACGAAATTACTAAACGTGACCCGCAACCTGTTTCGCCAGATTGTCCTGCCATGGACGGAGGGAAAATTAACAATGACCGATTGGCGAATCCGAAGGCAGGTTTCAGATAGCAGATCTTTATCACCTAAATTTTTTTTTAAAGAGTGGAGCGATTTCTTTAACCAAAGGTAACTGGTAACCAATAATTGCAAATTGTATATTAAAGTTGACAGAACCAAGAAAGGTAAATAAAAAATACAAATGAGAAAATTTTATTAACGTCGAAGAACATCTATAAACACCAAGTAAATGAGAACAATACTTTCTAGCTAGTTAAAAATAGCAAGACTTATCTGCGAAGGCTAGAATGTCAACTTAAATATGTTTTTTTTTCGAATCAATTTTTCCTATTGTCATAACTGGCATGACAAAGCAAGCCGAAACACGCACTGATTTTGGTCACGTAACACAAACCTTTCACGTGAAACTTTTATTTTTCCACATGCACAACGAACAGAAGCGAGCTTTCCCCCTGATGTTCTGACGTCGGCAAAAAACCAAGGAGGCTCAATTACACCGGAAATATTACGTAATAACCAAACCATCATCGAGAAAAAGGGTTATTATGACTGCGTAATATTTGTGGAAGAATCTGGAAATTTAGACGAGCTATCATGCGTACATCCGTGGAGAAAACGAGGTGTACATGTGATCGGATCATCTTCCACATACATGTCAACAGAGTAGGTCAAATCGTCCAAAGGTTTTTTTCGGGGTCAATTAACGCAAATAAACCGGAGCGGATCGAGCACTCAACACTTTTAAAATGGATTGAAAAACGGATGCAAACTTTGCCTCATAGTGTTCTGGAGTTTTCCCCGCGATTTTTATTTACGCAGCAAAGATGTGTGCATTTTAGTTGTGTAAGAATTCTTTCAGATGTTATCGTTGTAATCCAATTCCGTTCTGCTCAGAACAATAGCAATTAGGAGGATTTTCGACGACAGAAGAGTAAAAATTCCTGATTGTGAGACAAACCGCAATTATTTAGTTTTATGAGATAGGCACCCTATGTTGGTGATCCTTTTCCTGTTAGTTTGATAACCGTTATACCATCAGCACGTAACACTAAGACACCCGAATACAGTTTACAACGAAGAATTTTTTTCTTCTAAATAAATATTCATTTACTGTTGGATAGGAAACGATCTTTCACCGTTCTTATTCTATATATCTATCTCTCTCTTTCTTCTTTTTCTTTTTTTATTCTTTTGATTAAATCAACTCTGTGAAAAGAGAACAAGAGTCGCTCCCAACCCTAACCGTAAGCAAAGAAATCTAATACTTTAACTTTTGCAGAGTACCTTGATCGCAGATTTCTTCTTCTTTGCTGATTGGCACTGGAACTGCAATGAAACAGATGGCAAGCTAGTAAGGATAAGCCCTTCTGACACAGGCAGCCCAAGCGCTGTGGAAATATCTATTATGCTAAATATGTGTGTTAATTGAGGAAATCAAAGTTAATTTTCCATAGTTTCTCGTCTACGTGCTCGTCTGCGGTTAAAAAAACGCCCTTTAGCTATTGAAGTCGATATTTCCTGTAGTATTGCTCGCGATTTGAACCGTTATACTTCAAATTTCACGCCCTCTAGTGTTCCTTGGAGATATCGTTGTCACGCAAAATATAACGTCTAGAAGCTACGTATCGTTTTGTCGAGGCTGCCTTTTGCCTCTCAATCGGCTTTCAAGCCATCCTGGTAGAATACATTTTTGTCTTCAAAGGAAGCAAATTTTACGAATCGGTGCAGCTTTCGGCTGCAGGACACAGAGTAGCCATGGATTGAAAAGATTGTACAAGTTACATTTTGCGTGATTATGAATTTTTATAATGATGCGCAAGTGATTAAAATCTGATGTTGAGAGGTTCAAGTCCCGAGCCACACTGCAGAAAATATTGACTTAGTTTACCAAATGAGTGATTTTGTTACAAATATACAAACACACAGACTTCAAAGTAAGGAAACGTTGGGTTTGTGCTTCTGTTAAGACATCTATTCGGTAATTTTCATGATGCAGGAACCCCCAAGATATGTTTGGGCTGCCTGTGACTTAGGTATTTGCTAGGAATTTACACTGAGGGTTTTCCCGTGAATTTGAGCTGGTCAAACTTTGGTTTCGTTGAACTGAATAGAAATAAGCCCATGGTTTTAAGCCGCACCGAAGAACAAGTCAAGAAAACTAATGGAAAGATGTCACCTACGTCATCGAAAATCGAACAGTACGGATGGCGTAGAAATTATTTTCCAATATATCCGGTGTTCTTAAGAAATTTTCCTACGCAATAGATCCAAGTTCTTAGGCTAAACGCAAAAATGGACTAAAAGAAAACAATACTGGAATAAAGATTGGGAGGCTATATTTGCGCAAGAACTTACAGGGCCGAAAATAAACGAAAAAGGAAAGAAAGTAGCAACGATTCGCTAAAAAATAACCGAATACGAATTACGGAGCACAACAAAATATTTCCACCAAACACAAGACCTAACTTATAGAAACATTTCTCTTACCTGCCAGAGCTCCACCAACCAGCAGAAAAGCAATAAGTACTCTCATTTTGCACCGAATTTTCGTGCAAGAGCTACTGGGATGAGCTACGAGTAGCTACTAAAGCAGTTTGCCAAAACTCATCTTTTTATACTGACAGTACATCAACGATGCCGGTGGTGTAACAAGATATCTTACGCAGTCTATCTTATTACAAACTTTAACGAATATCCGGTGTTAAGGATTACAATATTCACAGGAATGCTGGGAAAGAGAACTTAAAATAATCAGCTGCCCTTCACCCTTGATCTTAATATTAGAAAAATGATATCGTCTATAAAGATTTTAAATGATTTCGGTGCAATATTTCTTTTTGACAATAATTTTACAGTTCGTGTGGGCTTTTTTAACCTGAAGGTCATCTCCAACTTGATGTAGTTTGCATTTTAAATACAATTTTTTTCAGGTTTGTTATTCGATGTGTTAAGCGTTGATCGCTTTTGCTCTTCCAGTGTTGATAGGTTTGTGATGCAAGGCAGACAAGATATCGAAGAACAGAGCCTAAGGAACAACCAAACTTGAGGTGTTTAGCTTCATTTCCGGTCCTTGTATCTCAAAATATCCTGAGAGTCGAGGGAGGGGAGTAGGGTGGGGCAAAATTAACCATGTTGCAGATACAAAACTAACTGCAAAAAGCTAAGTCGGATTTAAAGATTGGGTCAATGGGTCATGATATTTCTACTTCAGAAGAACAATTCTTAGAAATGAAAATGAAATCGAAGTCCAATCTAGCTTCCTTTTAGAAATAGAATTACCGACCTGAATGTAATAACCCTCTGTGGTAATAAACACTTTTGACCCAAAAAGGTTATAATTTTTTTTTCTGATTTTTTTTAAATATTGAACCGGCTATTGAAAATCCTTAGGTCTCTTGCAACACTTGATGTAGTCCCTCAGGTTGTTTTCCTAATTCGATTTTTTTTCTACATTGCGTTAATTTTAGTCCGTGACTCATGCCAATGTTCTCACGTGAAAACTCTTAAGAGGACAGGCTGGAAAACATGCATAGTAACTCTACTTTGCACGAGCTCGAGGTTTCCCTCCTCGTTTTCCAGAACGAATTCGAACAGAGGCTAATGCTTGACTGTCATCACATCTGTATCATGAGGCTAGCATTAAGGCACTTAGCACGTACTTTTTAACTTTCAACTTTTCTTTTACATAAGCAAAAAGAAGACAAGTGAAAGTAGAACCAAGACTAAGAGGACTTGATCATGGAATCTAAATCCTAAGGTAAAGGTTGTCTGCAGCGTGAAACGCACTTACGAATACTAAAGAAAGTAGGGGTAAAAAAAAATTACCATTTTATTTTATGAGTGGAGTCTCAAGTAACAAGGTACGTGAAAAGTCACAGCAGGGAAGGATCCCTGGAAGAGGGAATGCACCCTTCAATATGATGCTTAAATATTACTCCCTGATAAGGCCGAGAACATTTGCGCTTTGAAATAACCGCTACGTCACAAGTTTTCCAAGTCTTAAAGGAAGACGTTAAAGACTTATCTGTAAAACTTTTAAAATATCCAAAATATGTGTGTTTATTTGGTCGCTTATAGTCTGCACATTACCTGCAAATTTTGATCAAACACTCGTGACTTTCAGCGATTGAAAGGTACACTGTAGATCCCAATGTGCTCCAGTTAACCCTTAAATCACTTGAGGGTGCAACAGAATGCATCTACAAATCCTTCTGATTAAAAAAAGTACATTTATGACGACGGAAGACACTGAAAAATTATGATTTGTTTTCCTTTTAGAGCTGAAATGGGGAATGCCGCTTCGAAAACCTCCTATGGAGCATGCTTGTAAAAAAAATTTACACTTAAACATTTTACCAGGTCTTTAACAAATAAATAAAAAAGGAAAAGAAAAGAGAAAAAAAGCAGCATCTATTTAAAAGTTAAAGAAAGACACGCTCGCGAAGATAGAAAACAAAAGTCGGCTCTTATGAACGAAATGTTATTTTCATAGTTCAGAATCAGAGATTTTTTTAAGTGCTTCTTAACTGATGGTTAACAGCTTTCTAAAAAAAGCAATAAGAAGCATATAATCCGTGAAAGAGGGAGATGGATCAAGCTTGCATCTGTAATATGAGGAGACACCTTTACCGATTGGGATGAGAAAGGCGACTTTAAGTCTCGTAATTAGAGCAATCGGGAGAATCAATTGACTGATCCTCTTTTAATGTCATGTACTGAGCTGGAGGTTATCTTGCCGGTCTCTGATTGCACTGGAAATACATTCGGATATCACGTGCAAACTGCAAAGCTTTCTTTGTTCGCTGGCTGCAGCAACTTCAAGGTTGAAATTTCCTACTATTGTTATGTTTTTTTCCTCAGATGTAAGAAAGCTGATTAGAGAAATCATCTACATCTATCTGTTTAATTTTGTTTGTAGCCAGACCAGAATGGGTTTTCTTTAGAACCAAATTTTCAGTCATTACGAGTGGTAAGTCACTATTTGTTATTCAGAAATGACCATTCATGTGGTTATTATCACGTAATTTCCTCATTAATCTAATTAATTACAGATATTTCCTTTACCATACATGTACGCCGGTCAGAAATAGCGCATCGTCATCTTTGCATTGCCTTGAAGGGCTTTTTAAAACATGAAGGTCATTAATGTATTTCAGCCAAATTCAGGATGATTGGCACCTTTCAACGTACAGATTCCCTCACCCCAAGTGAAAATACCATGGAACTATCGACGGAAGTCATGTGGATATTGCTAGCGCCTCGTTAAGATATAAACCGTTTTAAACTGTCTTATGAGAATTACGCGATGGAATACAGTAGGGAACTGCATGTTGGGAAAAAATGTTAAAAAAATGAAAGGAATTGTTAGGGAAACATTTTATGGTTAATGACTTTTGAAATCCTCCAAAAATGTAAAAGAGTGCTCGCCGGATTTCTGCACGACGCTTATGGGGGTAAAATAAATGCTGTGGTTAATACTTGTCTTCTCCTATTTAGCTTGACTTTGACCTTTCGTTAGCAAAAGCCATAAGAATTTCTCTTTTAAAAAATGCATTTCCGAGGCCACAACCGGCTTAGGTTAGAAAACGGTAAAGCAGATAGTATATTCTTACACAGCGGGAATCATCTAACTTGAGTTGCTATCAACATAATACATCTAAACATAGTTCGTTTGGGCTTGAATTTCTAATCTGGAAAATCAAGTTTGTACATGTAGTTTGAGAGAAGTAATGAGTTTGTTCACGTGCAAAATACGTGCTTCATAAACCTGAGAGATCTTGAGAAATCGTAGATACGTCAACAAGCACGCCAACGCACGGGAAACTGAAAATATCTGAAAAAATCACCATCGAGTATAACAAAATTACAGTGGCTTATTCTTTACCTCATTCTAGGCCACCGTGAGAAACACGACCGAAACAACGAACTTCGATCACAGGGTTCCAATGAAGTTGGCCGGAGGTGAATCACGGTCACAACAAATCTTTTGGTGTTAGTGAATAAAAAAGTAAATATATTTTACTTTTGTTCGTATTGAATTGTATTGTATTTAAATACAAATAACATTAATTGCGCCATGAATTATTGCACAGTCAAAAATAAATCTACATTGCACACTCCTCTTTGATTTCTTTCACAGCCGCTTTTTAGGATGTCATGCAACACTTTCCGAAGGAGACTAACTTTTCTTCTCTAAACACTGTCCGGATATCTACACAAAGTTGGTCTTAAAGGCGAGATGGACCATCATTTGACCAAAGCTCTAAGATCTTTATGTGAATTTATAAAATGTGTGAAATGCCTGCAAACTAGTTTGCCGCTTCCAAAGCTGAAAACTTTAACTATTCAGCGATCCATATCAAAAATGTTTGCATAATAATGTGGCTACGACTAAGATGGTCATGACACAATTAGTTGAACTTGCTTCTCAAGGAACATGTAGCGAAATTCTCCTTACAATAACATATTCTTGTTTTCTAATGAACCAGAAGCCTCGGGAAAATTGATATTCCATACCGTTCCTACTGTGTACTGTTTCTTCTTTGTCTAACCTCCTATATTTCCTCTACCCTTTAACTCCCAAGATCTGATTGTTAATTCTCCCCTCTAGCTGCTACACATTTCCTTGTAAATAAGTTACGAGAATTTGGTGTTGGATCGAGATAACTACTTCGACCTGATAAGTATGAGTATTCTCGTGACCTGCTTGCTGGATAATGTTTAGAAATTACAGGGAGAAGTTTCACGTTAATCACTTTTGGGAGCTATGTGGTTGAAAGAGCTTTAGCATAAGGAGCCCTGAAGGGATCTCTATTTTAGTAAACAAACTGGTCTAGGGACGAAGAAATTCTTTATCACTTCAGATTAAACATTCCATACATAGTCTAACATTAACCTGAGGACCTAAAAAGAAATAACTCTTACCCCTTTACGTACGTTCAGTCTTTTTCTTTACGCATTAGCCCTGACTCTGATGACTTTTTCTCTTCGCTCCCCCCCCCCCCTCTCCCCACCCATTCCATTACCCACTCTACCACCGTTGTTCTTCCCCTCTTGGGTCGATTTTTCAAGATAAAATAGTGGTCCATTATTTTTCTTGGTTATATAACTGATTTGGGATGCTACCCTTGAGAAAAAGTTTCCAACCTTAAAATTCTTGCCTCGACTTGACACAAAAGTTACCGAGTGCGATCTCGAACATTCGAAGTAGGACTCACGAAGGACAAACAAGACTAACGACCCAGCCAAGCTGGGCTAGTATGCTTTCAGTATCAATTGACGACAAAAATTCATAAACGCAAATGTAATAAGCTAAGAACCTGCCTACACTGTGCGTTGGCAGAAAAAAAACAAAGAAAAAAAAAGCTCTAGAAACTATTTGTGTCATTAGAAAGGAAATACATAGCCAGAAATTATAATAATAATTGGTTTGATCGAATTGATTTTTAGTGCGTTATCGACAGTTGCTTCTGAGCCAGTAATGAAGAAGTCGAGGTTAATTAAGAGGTGGAGTTTTGAACCGCAATACATGAAGATTTGTGATTCTAATCCTGGTGGGTGCCCCATACTTTGTTTTGCTTTGTTTTGTTTTTTTTTTTGCGTTTTCGCACGCTAGTACGTCTCCCTTTATTACTCAATCAAAACTTTTTTACAGCCTATCTTTGGAACGCATGACGAAGCGAGACTTCAAGATCAACAGTGCCGAAAGTGCATGAGGACGTAACTACCCAACCTCGCCAAACTATTGGGATTTTGAAGCTCGGGGGAGGTTTGGGGGATTTTTCTTAAGTCTTTCCTTATTAGGTGATTTGATTCCTACCTTTTGGAAATGTTCTAATGTCCATAATTTAGATGATAGTCCGTCTATTAGTCTCTTGTGGGATTTCTCACAATTTTGGGGTAGCGCTGCGTCAGGTACTCAGTGAAACTTTTTCGATGAAGACTTTAACATAACAATTTTCTAGTATTTCTAAAAACATTCAGTTCGAAATCAGAATATTCGAGCTATAATTTTTTCTCCCATAAATTATCTTATTTATTCTTCCTATTTAGTCAGTTTAGCTCAGCTTATTTCGTGTTTATTTTCGCGTTTAGAGTTTTGGCAACAGTTACTCTTCTTTGTACAGCTATAGGCCTTTAGTAAAACACTTCAGCGGTTTTGTGTTCTAAAAATCGTACCATATGAATTTGCATCACAACGATACGAAAGGATCCCGATGGCAAAAGGAGCAACTGTTTTGAAAACTCCTAATGGCAACGAGGAAACAAAAAATGAACGCATTTGACTAAAACTGCCATTGGTTACTTTACAAAATGCTGGCGTTGACTCTTAAAGTATAAAAGCTGCTTACCACAAACGACCTACATTATAACTAGGAAATTGGAAGATCTTAAGTTCTTCCTTATGGCACCTGAAAGAATCTGAAATACTTACTGCTTTGGTATAAAAATCTCCCTCAAGGCTTATTTTATCATTCCTTACGAAACGACACTCTCACCCGTCAGCGTATTATTTTTAAGATTTTACTGTACACCTTCAAGGCACTCCATGGTGCGGCTCCAACGTACTTGACTGGGCTCATCAGTCCTTATGTTCCTAGGCAAGCTCTCAGGTCTGCTGACCAACTTCTACTGGAGCAACCAACACACAAGCTCAAATCGACTGGCCTAAGGGCTTCCTCTGTGTGCGCGCCTTACCTCTGGAACTCGGTTCCATTTGAGATTAAAAGCAGCGCATCTGTCTCTATTTTTAAAGTTAAGCTTAAGACCTATCTTTTTCGACAAGCATATTTTTAGACTTTAAATTTTTATGTAATTATAGGTTATGATAATTTGACACTGTAAAGCGCATTTAGGCGTTAGGAAAATGCGCCATAGAAATAAATAATTATTATTGTTATTAAGATACCTCTCGAAAATGCATACGTTAACTCCAGTACCAACCAGGACACAATCTTGCCTGATCTAAGGGACTTAATACAGGAAGTACAGAACTAAATAACAAATGATTAGAGAAGCACCGCTTCATTAACCCAGAACGTCACTGAATTCTTTCTTTCATCAGTTCTTTTCTAATTTAAAATATGATACATGCAAAGTATTGAAAATAAGACTTAACGTGCATACCGAACAAATGCCACCTGTTACTTTAGAGATAAAGGCACTTTGTATGTGCAATTCCTTTAAAGTGCTGTTCTTAGGCTCACACACGTTTACGTCAGGAGCTTAGCGTGGGACGGTTCTTACCAATATGATCAAATTTTCACATCAGTTCAGAAATTGCAAGTTAATTCTCCTCAGCATCGTTTTTTACCGAGCAATTACTTTGCTAGACGGATGGGCGGAAGCATCACGGCCGAGGGATATTTACGGTGCGTGGGAAAGACGTTCCATAGTTTCCTTACAAACAAACAAACAAACAAACAACTTTATTTAAGGAGGGTAACACAACAGTAGTTCAACGGATGAACTAGGGCCCTCGATCCTAAAAGTACTATAATTAGTATTAAAATGTACTGCAGGATTATAAAATTGGTCGACAGGTCTATGAGAATATAAGCTAAGAACTAGATAAAATAAAATATGCTGCTTGGGTCAGGTTAAATCAAATTCGAACTGAAATCTTCTACTTCATTATAGCTCGTTATAAAATGTCTGTGAAACTGAAACCTGTTTTTACAAACAGGGTTTAGGCTGTACGATACCATTAAGGAATTAAGGAACGGTCATTTTTTATTGCGCGCGGGGGGGGGGGGGGGGGGGGCAGGAGAAAGTTCGGTTGTATCGCGATTTATTGTATCTAAGCCCCCTCGCTGCCCCTTCCCACACAGACACACCCTTAAGGCTCTGCTGAATATTGTTGTGATCTCCCCCTTCATTGGCATGCGCAGATGATTCGCAGTTAATTTTCTACAGTCTTCCCTTCATACCGATCATCTTCCGTTCTTTCTGAAAACCACGTGATCAACCCAAAATCCTCATCGCAACCCCCTCCCCCTAGTGATAACAATGGTTCGTCTCTTTCGCAATTATGTAACCGTACACATTTTCAAGGTGGTTTCAACGCGATAAACCAACAACGCGGGTTGTTGGACAACAACTTAAAACTTGAGTGCTCAATCAACATCCCAGGTGGGTTTGACAAGTCTCATGAATGTTGATCTTTATGCTTTTGGAATTTTTACCCACTTGGGTTTTCAAATTGAACCTGGTGGTTTTCGTGTTGTGTATGACTAGTCGAGGGAAAGGTACAAAGTCTCTTATCAGCATTGCAGTGTTTTATATGCAAACCATGGATTTTATGGTATCGAGCTCCAATGTCTGGCCTCCAAAGATCGTTGCAGCTCAGAAGTACTTGAGCAGCTACTGGAATTTGTATTTCCCTTCACTTTCGTGCGATTTTCCTTCTCTTTTCAATCCTGTTGGCAAGTTTACTTTTATTCTTCTTCTTCCAATGGGTTGCTTGGCACTTGTGGGTGTCTACTTTATAGTTATGCTAAGCTACAATAAGGTTCGTCCCCAAGAACGACGAATGGAAAATGTTCACTTTAAATGCCGTCAAAGTGCCTTTTTCTGTTTGAGTTTCACTTACTTTCCAGTTGTAAAGCAAACTCTCTCCATCTTACGCCCATGCCAAAATGACCGTGATGTTCTTTACATACCAAATTCCCCTTGGATAGAATGCACATCTGTTACTTACAGAACACTCTTAGCTCTTGGTTTTGTCTCTGTAGTGGTCTACGTGATTGGGTTTCCTTTGCTTCTCTCCTCACTCATGTTCTTTTTCTT